AAAAAAAAAAAAAAGAAAAGAAATGAAAATCTCCATACCTACAACAAACCTACCAAATCAGAGTCTGTGTTTTTAATAATATCTCCACAGAATTCACATAAAGCCCTTCATGACTAGCCCATGTAATTATTTGGTAAAGGTTGGCTAATATTATTGTTAAGTAATTCACAATACTGTCCCCCCCCTTATTTATTCTATCCTTAATGATTTGCAATCATATAAGATATACATAAGAAACAGAGAGAGGAAGCTAATCACCTATTCTAATTTTATTCTAAAAACAACTGCTTAACTATGATACAGGCACACAAGAAATCTAAGCTCTAATGAATTTACCTAAAGTATAAGAAATAAAGGGAGTGAATGGCAGTACCTAACACAGTACTAAGGCACTTGGCAAGGGCTCAGTCAACAACGGACCGCCAGGAAGCTGATGTGAAACAGCAGCATAATTCAAATGGAGACCACAAACCTCTTTGTCTATGGCCGTGGTATGCAACTGGGCCTCTGCAAGCTCACAATCGAGAGCTCTCTGTAGGCTATATATGACATGGTCATATGAATGGTGTTCATCATTGAAAAGGACACAATAGTATCTTTCATTTTTCTCCCTGTTAAAATAAAAAAGATATATTCAGACAGCGCAGCAAACAAAGGATAAAGTTAAAAACAGACAAAAATATTATAATATACAACATCTGAACTGAAGCAGCACCATGCAGTTTCCAACAATAGGAAACAAACACTGTAATACTAATACAGAAAATAATTTTAAGTGGTATAGTGCCATGGATTTTTTTAAACCCTGATGAAAGTATTACCTTTCCCATGTTTCCCCCCCTTTTTTTCTTACTACTTTCAGAAATCTCAGTTGAATAGCTGTATGTCTTTAATACCACTCTTAACTCTTGCTCATCCCCCATTCTGACAAATGGAGACGGGCCTCAGGCTCAGAACCTTCAAGCAGGCAATGATAAATAATCAGATCTTATTAACACTTTTATTGAATTTATTTTTGTTTTTACCTTCTATTTAAGTGAAGCTGGTATTACAGTACCTTTAAATTAAAAAAAAAAAGTATACAGTACAGGCTTAAAAGTGCCAGCAATTCCACTTTGGCAGAAGACCTCAGGTCAGCTAATCTTTTAATCTTACTGAGATGACTGCCTCGTCCAGCTACAAGAAGAGCATAATATCTGCATTCAACAGTGGCATGAAGATCTCGTATGTAATAACAGCTGCCATGGGCTTACACACTGTATATGCTATCAGTTTTAAACAGTTTATTACATGTTTTCACAATACAGTCAATTGACCCTCATAACTCTATGGGGAGATTTTCTCAGCACTCTTATAGTTTAGGAAACAGGCTCACAGGGCTTGAAAGACTCACCCATGGTCACACTGCCAAAAAGCAGTGAGAGGGCCTAGAACTCAGACCTGTGGGTGTGAAGACCAGTACTACTACTCATATACACAGTGATACTTAAGCAAATCTCTTTTCTTTGGTAAACAGATGGCTCATATTATGTTCACTAACAAAATTTCCTGGAAGGTTCAGCAGACATTACCACCTATTTGAAATTAAAATATTTGTGGACATAATTTCTCATGACCTTTATTTCCCCAAGCAGTTTATGACCCACCAAGAGTTAAAACAATACATTTACTATCTCTACAAATTAGAAGTCTTACTTCTTCTCCTTCTAAAAACAAAACAAACCCAGAAAACCGAAGAACAATTGTATTTCTATTTGTGCTACAATTCTGTGAAAAGCCTAATACTACACAGGCAGAAAAATTCCCATAAGGCTCAAACTGTATCTTCATATCAGGTCCAGAACTCCTTTTTACATTTTTAAGGTAAGAGCAAATATTATTGCCACCAAGACTTATGTCTATTAGAAATTGCTGAGTTTTAGGTAAAAAATGTTAAATTTCTAAAATTTCAATAATCCTAGATACCAAAGCACAAGGGAAAGGGTTATTTCCTCATTCCCAATTAAACTTTTCTTGATCAGAAAAAGAGCTAAAGGGAAATACACCATACAGAAGTTCCTAACTTTGTTCACAAACCTCTTGGGGAAAGTGGAGGTTAGTCAAGACCAGGATCAAACTGAACAATTTACTTACTTACTGGGATGACAGGCTGCCTTTCTAGGTCTTGATAAACCATTTAGCACAAGACCCCCAGAATACTGATTTTTCCTAAAAATTCAAAGCTCCTGTGGGCTCCTCTTTTGGTTTACCTTCTGTTCAGTGCCTAGTAAAGCATCTCATATAAATGAACTTCTTGAAAAATATTACCAAGAGATAACACTCTATAAATTTTTCATATCAGTAATACACTAAGCAGTAAAAAACAAGAAGTTATCTAACACTTATACTGCAATAGAAATAATCATCATTAAAACTTATTTCCCTCCCACCCCCATTTTTTGGAGACAGAGTCTCACTTTGTCACCCTTGGTAGACTGCCGTGGTGTCACAGCTCACAGCAACCTCAAACTCTTGGGCTCAAGCAATACTCTTGCCTCAGCCTCCCAAGTAGCCAGGACTACAGGTACCTGCCGCAGTGCCTAGCTACTTTTAGAGACTGGGTCTCACTTGCTCAAGCTGGTCTGGAACTCCTGAGCTCAGACAACCCACCTGCCTCAGCCTCTCAGTGTGCTAGGATTACAGGCATAAGCCACCGTGCCTGGCAAAACGTATCCCTTTTGACAATTTCCTGTACCTTATCTGGAGTTCAGGGGGCAGCTCTTTTTCCTCTTCCCATATTGTCATTTCTACAATGTATTTTATCACCGAAGGGAATATTTTCCTGGCTTGGGCAATTACCTCTTCATTCAATGTACAACGTGAATTCTGTAAAAAAGCAGAGAAAAACATACTAATCAAGATCATACACAAATAAATGGATGAGAAAGGTAATATTATTAATTTAAAATAACTTTAATGACTTCATTGTAACATCCTCCAGGAATGAATTCAAAGTGAGCTCAAGAGGGTTGCTATTCACATCAGTTTAGCTTAATCCCTCTGGACAAGCTGGTGTCAGAGATGATGAGATGATGGAAAAGAAAAGAAAGAGGCAGACCATGGACCCCGCCCCCATAGTGAAACACTCCCTTATGAATCTTCTCTGTCTTTCTGAGAAGCCTAATTATGATAATATCACATACATGTAACAATTAGCTATCAATTCTACGTAGTAGCTAACAAAAACTTTCCTCATAATTTGTCTCCACAGATCCTTATCACTACTCCATAAAAAGGCAGAAAGGGTTTTTTTTTGAGACAGGAGCCTCAAGCTGTCCCCCTGGGTAGAGTGCTGTGGCATTTCAGTTCACAGCAACCTCCAACCCCTGGGCTCAAGCGAGTCTCCTGCCTCAGCCTCCCAAGTAGCTGGGGCCACAGGCGCCCACCGCAATGCCTGGCTATTTTTTTTTGGTTGCAGCCGTCATTGTTGTTTGGTGGGCCCGGGCTGGATTTGAACCCACCACCTTGGGTGTACATGGCTGGCGCCTTAGCCACTTGAGCCATAGGCGCCAAGCCAGAAAGGGTTTTAATGACATTTAAAAGATAAAGAAGCCAGATGGCGCCTGTGGCTCAGTGAGTAGGGTGCTGGCCCCATATACCAAGAGCAGCGGGTTCAAACTGGGTCCCGGCCAAACTGCAACAAAAAAAAAA